ATAGCCTAATTATCATCACTGTTCACATGAAATTAACCCTTGCACTCACAATTTCACCCAACAAAATCATGTCATTGTGTTGAGGAAATGTGATTGAAAAAATTGAATTCATCCATGAGGCAATGTTATTTGACTCAACACCAAATTGTCAGGGCTAAGATGATAATTAGAATGAATGGCCATCATTGCGAAAAACTGATATCGCGGTCCTGAGTGTGAAGGCATAAATTAAATAATTGTACTTGATGATACTATTACTGACACTTTTTTCCAAGAATTGATTGAATTGTTTGTCTTCAATTCACAGGGAGTATGTGAATGCTGGAGTGCACTATTTACCCCTCTTTGAAGGGACTCCAAGTGCAGTAAGTCATCTCCTATATCTTCAATTGCTTAAAGGATTAGAGACAGTTGCTATAGATCGCAATCCAGCACTTAAAAGTTTATAATTTTGGCATTGTCCTGGAAGTGATTTGAATACAGTATGTGTTACTATTGGAATTAAGGGTCACTACCTGTCTTTCCAACAACATGTATGTACTTGATCAGTGTTAAGAATAACATGAAAACTTGGAAAGTAATTGTTGATGTCATGGTACCTTTTTTCTCTCAGACTTTTCTAGAATTTGTATCCAATCATTCAGTGGAGACAAGTTTGCAGGAAGCAATCAAGCAAAATATACACAATTTGTTGGTAGGACACAAAATTTTCTTTTTGTCTCAGCCAACATTGTTAAGTCTAAATTAATAATAATAATAATAATAAAATTAATAATAGTACCGGTATATACATTTAATTGGAGAGAGGTGTGGATGATATAAAGGGGAGATATTTGATATATTACCAATTTATTAACATTGTGAAGAAGATTAAAACAGTGCTGTTTGTTTAGTAGAAGTACTTGATGAAATATTGTAACTTAGTCAATGCTTGTGATTTGTGTCAGTGGTGTTATCTAGTTTTCATGGCTACAAGAGATAAGTGACATAGTTCTAATGGTCGCTGGATAGGGACTTGACACTGCAAGCTGCAGTGCAAGTCACCAGACAAAAACAGGGATGCTTGGATAATGAGTTTTGCACACAGACTTTAAGTGATGATGATAACATTGACTACGATGGTATTTAATATAATTGAAAATCCTAATAAAGAAACCTTTATCTCAGCAAGGCACCTCTTCTGTTGATGATAATAACTTTGACTACAATGATATTTAAGATTGAAAACCCTAATAAAGATACCTTTACCTCAATAGGGTACCTCCTGTGTGGCTGTTCGACTTTGGGATGCACATTACTCCCCAGATGAATGCATTCCTTTACCAGTAAGTAATAACCATAAATTACATGACATGTACACAAACAAGAAAATTTTATTTTATCAACTGAGTTCATAATGTAAATTGGCCACTATGAAGAGTTTTTTAAATTGACGTTTTGTGCGTTAGCCCTTTTTCAGAGCTCTGATAAAGGGCAAACTCTTGAAATGTCAGCTTACAAACTCTCTACATTGGTCAATTTACATTATCAACACAATAGATTAAACCAAATTATCTTGTTTACTCCCCCATCAAGGCACTACTGCAATTTCTTTTGAAACTTGCCCCCTTTATTCATTAGTACACTAAAAGTCTGCCTCTGAAGCCTTTTTTAATGCAATATACAAAACTTGAATATTTCAGTTACATTTGTTTGCACAAAGTGTATTACTGGATCATATTGTATTTAGCATCAGTTATGAAACTATTTTTTAATCTAAACTTTAATTGTTGCCCCTTTTCTCTTCCACTTTTTCTTTACTGAGGTCCAACAGTTCTCTACAAATCCCTTCTGTTTGTGAAAATGAATTTACTAGCAGTGCTAAGCAACCCTTTTGCAAACTTTGATGCATTGTACAAGATTCAGTGTTACAGTTCTTTTGGTATACTTATGACCTGCAGGTTAAGGAAGAACTTTTATCTCTTGGAAGACAAGAGAGATACTGGAGAACAATTCAGACCACTTCAGGGAAGTTAATCTCTGATATAGTATTACAGACTCTCACCCGGCAGGAACGGAAACAAGGTGTGGCAGGGAGTCGGTACATTGCTGAGAAGGAAAACTATGAAGAGGCTATGAACAGTGCATTCAATAACCTTTTGGTAAGGAAGCCTGACTGTGTTCATGAGGTCATTTCTATATTCATTTGGTATCTACTTATGGAGGCTACATGTGAGGATCTGGCGATGTGTAAGGATTTAAATGGGGTGCCAACAATAAAATCCTAGACCTGTGAGGTGTAGAGGCCCTTGTTTCTGAGGCTGAGACTTTTTAGTAGAGAATTTCCTATTTTTACCTTTGTTTTACTCAATTGCAATTACTTGAAAACCACATTTAAGTACTCTTTTCTGTACTCCATTTATCAATATATCAGTTTTTAAATTGAAATATTTCAAAGAACAGCAATCATACCCAGAATGCTTACTCTAAGGTACTCTTGAAGTACCCTAGAGCTACCTTCTGACAGAGACCAGAGACCAAAAGTAAAAATCCCAGACTTTGAAAACCTTTAACTCTTTAACTCACAGAAGTGATCAACATGAAACTTCTCCCTATAATACCATACATTATTCAGCAAAAAGGTAATGAGAATATTCAAACTTATCATGTAGAAGCTGCTATCTTGATCTAGCACTAAATTCTCATAACTAATTTACAAGGAAATGTTAAGCAGCTGAAGGGGAGAATTAACAATCAGATCTTGGGAGTTTAAGGGTTAAAGAAATACCAGACTTCAAGACCAGAAAAAGTCCCTACAGAACTTGACAGTACCATCCACCTTCCTTTTTCCATTAATGGTTTAGGCTCTTGAATAGATTACGTGAAACGCTCTTTTGGCTGATACCAAGTATTAAGGGAGGCTTGGTCAATGCATGCCAATATTTAACATTTAAACTCTAAGAGGGATTAACATGCAGCTTCTCCCATAATATCCATACATTATCCAGCAAATAGGTTATGAAATACTCAAACTTATCAGGTAGATGTAGTTATCTTGATCTAACACCACATTCTCTTTACTAATTTACAAGGAAATGTGTTGCAGCTTTACTGGGAGTAGTTAATTAGTTTTAATCAAGTTTTATTCCAGCTTTAATTCCAGACCATTCTGTAATGTTTTTGTTAAATTATAGGTTGATGTTCTTCTGCAGAGTGGCCTGGGGCCATTGACATGATGGTGAAAGAGGGTCTGAGTTTTTCAGTGATGATAATTAAAGTTGGTTCGACATAATGGAGAGAATGTAGTCCATCTTGCAGTTCTAGATTTTTTCTTCATTATTTATTTTTTGAACTCTGTACAAAGCACTGGTATACTAAATGAGAATTGTTTTTGTACATAAGACTACCTGAAGATAGATAAGCAAAAAATTGTACAGACTTGGTGATAACTTTTATTTTTTTAATTTAATACTAAGCAATAAAATTGCTAGTGAATCCAGAGTCATTGAGTGAGTTTCTTCAATTGTCAAGCTCTCAGAAGCTTTTTTTTTTCACTCTGGCAAAGATCCCCTGAACTCTGCTCTACAAAAATGCAGTGTGTCTAAATTTCCTCTTCCCAATCAATTTCAGTTTTCATGAAGTGTTTGGTTCTTTCATACAAAGGAGAAGAAATTTGTCTCTTGATGAGACTGATTTAAATGTTGAGCTCAAAGTCGTTTATTTGAAGTCCATCAGGTAAAGTTTGTGACTTTGGAATTGTGTTGTATCTTTTTGTCTATGTGTTGTATTACAGGTGATCTTTTAAAATTCATTTGTCCCCAAGACCAAGGTTCGCTTGGAAAAATGCGCCATCACCTTGAGTCGCAGTCTGAAATAACACAACAAAAACAAGAGCAGATTTTAATGTGGAGCATATCTTGGTTATTTATTAGCTAACAATTACCTGTTTACCCTGAGCCCATAAGATTTTCAAAGACAATTTACCTTGTTTATTGTTTTATGTCTCTCTCTACTGACAATCTCTTCTAAAACCTCACCAGTCCCTTTGATTAGCCTGTGCAAAAGGAAAAAAAAACTTTTTTGCAGTGTTTTATCATGCAATAAAAGTTACCATTCATGAGATAATTACCTTTGTCACACATGCAGCAAAACAATTCTAAACAAAATTGGCATATCTTGATTTAAAGACAGCGCTCCACAGAGGCAAATGGTGTCATTTTATTGGGAGAAATTTCCCTGTGAATGATACATATAGAACTGTAGTTATAGATGAGCAAAGTCTCTCATATGTCTTCTCTGTCTGTCTGTCTGTCATTCTGTCTGCCTTTCAGTCTGTCAGTCTATCTGTCATTCTGTCTGCCTTTCAGTCTGTCAGTCTATCTGTCTGTCAGTCTGGCTGTCTGTCTGCCTTTCTGTCTGTCAGTCTGTCTGTCTGTCTGTCTGGCTGCCAATCTGCCTCAACATAAATTTGTTTTCATCAACACTGCAAGTAACAGATGTGTAAACCTATTACAGTAGATTCCATTTTGGGAAGTCAGCTGTTTTGCAGTCTTTACATTAAACACTAAACTAATATTTTGAAATTATCTATAGAACATCTTTACCTGTGACGACCTGTTTCTGGGTCATAAACCCTCCTAACTTGGGCCTGTTGTTTTTCATACTCCTCTTTTGTCATAGGGACCATGGATCTTTCAGAAAAATCAAATAGAAGATACAATAAGTTTTTATTGCCAAAAAAAAATCCTTACTCCTTACATAATAAATTAATTGTGAATGTAAAGCTCTCTAAATCTTACAGACTACCAAGTTTAAAAAAAATGACACCAATTTATGACCACAAATGTCTACAACAGTAACAACAGTGAACTTAAAATTCAGTTAGTATGTGCCCCGATGGATTTTGTTAGTTTGTGCAGTTTGCAATCAGGGTTATCTAGGAAGTTTTTTTTAGCAAAAGAAAAGAAGACATTATTGCTGCTAAGGTACATTTGGAAATAAAAATCACCTGAACACTTGTTCTATAAATTCCTTAGTTCTCGTCTAAATTTAAAAAGCCCCTTTCCTCACAAATGATGCTCAACTACTGAGTTAGTGAGCGAAAACTATAAATATTTTTCTGGGTATGGGAAGGTGAGGGCCAAAACCACTACAATCAGGTGGATTAAAAAAAAATGACCCTATCAACACTTTTTCCAGTGATTGCAATAGCCACTAACCTCTTCTTTGGTGCTGCCACTGCTCTAGGATTATTTGATGGTGGACTTAAGGATTTTTCACCTGTTTTGTGTCAACAGAAATCAGAAAAAAAACATCAACTAACAAATTGGTTGTATGCTTAATAACTTCTAATTAGTTTTAATTTGAATCACGAAAAACAATTTTTGCCTGTATAACCTTGATTTTTTTTTTATAACTGTCTCTTGGTATTCAAGAACTCGTCACTTGAATTTGTATTTTCACGTTTATGTTGGGTCCAAATATTTCACTTCATGTCCACAATACCTCGTGTTCCATCGGTGTTTGCCAGGGTTGTATCTTTTTCGACTCTTCTGACATCAGCCTTTTCCTTCTCTGATTCCTTTCTTCTTTTTTTCCTCTTCTCTTTCTTTTCACGTTTCTTTTTTCTTTTCTCCTTCTTTCTTCTTTGTTTGTTCTTTCGATCTGTATCTTTCCCTCTCTTTCTCTTCCTTTTGTGATCACTGCTATCAGAGATGTCACTTCCACTTGTCGATCTACTGTCACTCTTATTCGGTTGTTCATGTTTTGATTTCTTTTTCTCTCTTTTTTTCTCATTCAGCTGTGTTTTTGAACTTTTTCTGGCAATTTTTCGAGACTTTGGTTCACCTTCTGAACTCGTGCTATCAGACTCGCTGTCACGTCCTCGTTTTCTATTTTTCTTCTCCTTCATGTCCCTCTTTACATTGTGAATTTTACAATCACCTCTTAAGAATTTAATATATCGATTATTGCAAAAAAAAGGAAATCGGTCGAAAATTTCCAGCAAAATTATCAGAAACAGGTTCTCTGAAGACAAGGCTACCAAGGAACGCCATCTTGCTGTTCACGTAAGGAGAGGGGCTGAGGGCTAGTACTTAGTCTTTCACGTATCTGCTTCTATTGAAGGATGATGCTGGATGGGGAAGAAACACGAAGAAAATTGTAAAAAAACGAATTAAAAAACGAATTAAACTTTTACTGACCTGAGGGATATCCGAGGTCATAGCATATCATCGGAAAATAGAAGGCTCAAAATTCAAACCTATCTCAAAGATGACCGTGAAACTGATAGCTTTAGTATCAAATATGCTTTCAAGAGGTTTTCAAATGTAGATAAGAGTTGAAACAGAAAATGAGAATGAACCTGACAATGTAAATAATTTAAGATTTCTTTATTATTTGAGAATAGGAATTTTTTCCTTTAAAATACTACTTGGTCCTATCTCGTTTTGTTTTCGAGTTTGTATGTACATGGTTGAAGGGTTTGCCCTTCGATTCGTTTTCGAATGATCAGTAAACTTGGTGTAGAAATTTCTGCACTTATCAGTGTCTAGTTTCCATTCAGTTGGTCACGATTATAAAGTAGAAGTTGATAAACGTAGCCCGGCATATTGTTACGAAACATAACAACTTAAATTCACCTCCCAAGCATTACTGATACTGTAGGTGCAGTTGTTAGTTCTTTGAAATTGATTCACTGTACATTTTTCAGAGACCATTTTGCGCAATTTGGGAGGCGTAGACGTGTGTCTTGTCCCCAAAATATTTTTCAATTAATTTGCAGAAGTATAATTTTTTTTCAATGCTTGTCGATGTCAGTCCATCTCACACAAACATCTTTTAAAGCTGGTCTAATCCACATTGGCATTGGAAAGTGATGACCAGCGGTGTTTCCCATCGACTTCTTTCGCATCAAGTAACTCCTTTCCCAAGGCAATACGATTCACATGTTTGAAGCCAACTTTTTCCATACCAGTCCCTTACGGTTCTCGTCGATCAAATTGTCCGCTCTTCTTCATTTTCCGTCATCGGCGTCACCTGTACCTGTTGTACAGTCACTTGGCGCCCTTTCCGTTTCGAACAAGGAAAACCGTATTGCCTTACGTAAAGAAAAAAATCCACAATGAACAGGATCGACGATATGAATCCAAAAATCTGAAAAGAGAAAATGGCCATCAGCTCACACCTGATAGAAATTTCGAGCTCATTTTCATTTGCATTTTGTGGCTTTTAGGTGCGGTAGAAAATGATATTTGTTCCACAAGAGAGCTTTTTGGTGCGAGATATTTGCTGTTATGATTAAAAGAAAGACAGCTCAATATTGTAACGTACCGAGGCGATGTTAATCTTACTGCATGTGACACATTTTGGCTGGAGTGGCGTTTCATGAAATGAGTCGCCCAATTTGACAGCCTCGTTTGCAAGAAAGCTAGACGACACCAACAACAGGACAGCGGTTACTGATGTAAACATGACAATCTGTGTATGAGAAAAAGAGAAGTATCAGTTTCTGGTGACGTTTGTAAAGCATCGAGGCAATAAACCCCTACTTACAAAGGCATTCCAGAATTTCAAATTTTTCTTCTGAAAATCGAAGACTTTTACGAGGAAGATGATCAGTGTCACAAAATACGCCACTCCTGAAGTCGTGAAAAACAAAGTGTCCGCAACTGTTTTCATGGAAACTAACGTGACGTAATGCTGCAATGCGCCAAAGCTAGTCGCCAGGCCGACCTGTCAAATGAATAATCAAAACATGAATAGAAAATTTTAAATCGAAACAATAATGTTCTTGTAAAGAGCAAAGTAGGATGCAATGTGTGATGGGCTTTTGCCTATGATTTATCAGATTTAAGACGCACTAATGACGTTAAACAACGATACAACCCCGTCCCTAGAGTCCTTTCCTCTTCTTCTCTTTCTTATGGAGGGAAGAAGAGAAGAACCCTGGGAACGAGGATGACAAAGTTATGTCATCCCTTGAATCCAACATGGCCCCCAGTTGTGAAAACGTGTGCAAAATTTTCCAAATTTGGGAAGTAAAAGTTTAGACATAGAAATGGCCAACAGCTATTTACGAGCAAGAAGAAAATACTAGGGACAGTGCTCTGAATTTTACCCGGATTGATCAGTAGGCTCTTCCACAGGAAATGAAATTTAAACTGGAGTTAGGCTACGCTTAGTAAATGCGCTGAAAAAAATTTCATACGTACCATTTCTGCTATATTTATAATCCCTGAGTATGATCTTAAAAATTCCCTGTTGATGCTTTGCCTGAAAATCCAGTTGTGCTTTTGCAGTGAGAGAGATGGCGATTTCCCCTCCATACCTTTTGACAATGATGAGACAGTTATCGACTATTCTCCTCAAAAATTAAACCTAACTGAGTTTCCCTGAAATATTTAAAGGATAGGGAGAGACTTCCGTGTTATTTCACATATTTTAAACTCTTTTTAGGGCCGTTTTTCTTAATGACTTTCCCATTCAATTTTTGATGATGAGTCAGAAATAATAATCACTTCGTGATATACACTCTGTTATTGGTCAGTGACGAATAAAGACGCTCTAAAGTGCATCGCATGATCTTCTTTAATCACTCTCTTGAATTAAAGGTTTTTTAATTACAAAAAAATACGTTAAATTTAAAAGTATTTCTGAAACTAATCCCTCTAGGTTTGTCTATCAAAATGATTGTGGTAAGTGACGAATTCAAAGAAAATACGAGCATGTTCCCAACCATTGAAACTTTTCCGGAGTAAGGTAAAAAGAGTACCTAAAAAGTAGCGTTGATAAATGATTTTGCTGAATATATGATGAGCAGAAATTCGTGACCTTAGGGTACGAGTAAAAATTTAAAGTGTTTTTGTGATCGTAAATGCCGTGAGTGGGTGTATTTAGAATATTTTGTGTATCGAGAAATAATCACTGGAAGGTCCAGAGACTCCGGAAAAACGTTCAGTTTTTCCCGAGGCGCGACAAGGTATATGTTGATCGAAAGATATACCAATGTTGTAAAATTTAATTGGTTACCATATGCGGCTACATTCTGTTATATTTTGACTTGTTTTGTAAAAGTGAAGCTAATGACGCACTTGGAGTTGAAAATGGGCAAAGGAAGTTTCTTAGGGACCACTTATTATTTACCCACATGCCTTTCAGGGGGGACGAAGGGGGATTAGTCTTCTTTAACAGAGTATGAAGGGGATACTATGGAAAATTGAATGCCAATGAGGGAGGATTGTTAGAATTCTTCAGAGCTGTAGGGGGATCAAGTAAATTTCATTGTGACATAACAAAAATCCTCCACCGCTCCCCTCCCCCCTTCCCAGCCGACATATATATAATGATCAGTCTTGTTGGCGTCAAATGCTGAGATGAACGTTTTCGTGGAAAATTAATGAGAAGATTATACAAAGTGTTTCAGGAAAATACCACACGTACCTTCGATCCTTTTTCTCTTTTAAAAACGTCATGTCCAACGTAGAATATCTTTCATTGTCCTGTTTGCTTGGGGGTTGCCTATTCTTTGAGTAAGTCAAATCAGAGTGAATTAAGAGGGTACCTCAGTTTCTACTCGTAATATTACGTAATATTGACTCGTGTGTCGCGCTATTCTCGCGCGAGGGTCTCGCGACTGTGGCAGCTGTGGTCACTTCGTACCGATGCAATGAATTCACGGCAGGACTAATTAAATAATTTATGGCTTCACAGGCTGAATCTGAATTGAAAGCTATTTGGGTTATTGCTTCAGTTTCAGAATCGCAAAAATAATTCATTGGAGAGAGGGTAAATTTGTGCACCTTTGAATTGATAAGCTAATAGCGCTCCGTGTTGGTGAACCTTCACCGAACACTCGCCTTACTTGAAGAAGACCATTAGCAAACAATTAAGTAGTCGGGAACATGAGAAGGACGTCTATAAAAAGTCTAGAATCGAAATTAAGTTGTCCCCTACCGATGAAACATTATAATGTTCTTAGAGCAAAAGTCTCTTTGTAAGTTTAAAATATTCTTTTTGGTTTGTGGTTTTCTGTTTCGAAATAAATCCTGCCTGTTTGATGCTACAATTACATAATCAGAAATTTTCATCACAGAAGAATAAATGCATATCTTTTTTAATTCTGGCACCATAGCGAATAAAATCATGAATATTCCCGTTTGAATTGATTTGCCGGCTGAAATTGGTTCTAAAAAAATATAAATATGTCGGCAGTCGAAGCAAACAAGAAGTTACGGCAACACTAACCACAAACATTGAAATTTTTAAAGAGCGATAACACAAAAAAATCATTAGTCGGTTTGCTCTGCCGGCATCAGAGCAGAAAATTCAAAAACTGATATGAATCAACAAATTTCGTACGTGGGTACGATGCACTTAAATCACATATTGAAATATAAAACATTTGAAATAGCCTTTGAGTGGGTTTATTTTACAAAGAAAAAATGAGAGAAGAATGTATCTTACCCCAAATTTGCCTCAAGGAGATGACTAAAAAGAAAATTCTTCACTTTTATCGCAAACTAAATCTCCTGCTAAGATCGGCCTTCCAGAAATGGTGCTTTCCACCTGGCGGTTTCCATGTTTACCAACTTGCATACACTTAAACAGAAGAGACAATTGGCCATAGGCTTATGTCAAAATATGAAAGGAAAAAGTAATTTACGTAAGCGTCTGATTTCAATTGAAAAGCGAACACAGGGAGTCTTATGTTATGAATTTTCAAAGTAATTTCGCAGTCATAGCCAACGGCACTTTGATTGTAAAGTTGCTTACGGTTAGCGAATACAGCGAGCATCTAGAGTGCCGTTGAATTTATTGTAAACAACAATGGAGAGTTGTACAAACAACTAGCTGGCGACAAAATTAATACTTGAATATAGAACCAACTATAACGTACAAAAGCAAAAACAGACAGAAAAATAAATAAATAAATTTGAAAAGCAGTGTTTGAATTTTTCAGTGTCCTGTGAGATTTGCCTTTCATACTTATATTGTAATTTGAAACTATGCATGTTTTCTACCAAATGCATCTAAAATGTATTTTTTTTTTAACAATGTCAGTCAGTCGTAAATAAAATAGGTGAGTAAATTTGCCTGAAATTGCCTACCAGTCAGTAAGGTAAGTACTGTTTCACAAAGAAAAAACAGAACAAACAAACTCTTTTCTTAAATCAATTTGAAGATTAATTATCCGAAGATTTGAGTATTACGCGATAAACTTACACAACTTATGTTACGTGTAGCGTGCGCGTGCGTGGTGTAGGCTAGAGTGCAAAAGACTCGTGATATCGAGGTTTCGTTTCGCCATGTTTCCCTCCTATAAACAAGTTAGCTTTTGAAATTAACTTTAAAAGTCTGGAACTGTCATGGCTTTATTGCAGGTCGCGAATCCTGACGAACAATTGATTTATTGAAACTCTTTGGAGAAGAAGTAGAAAGTTTGAGAGATAAGCATCCTCTTTTGCGGGGTCGGAACAGAACTTGATAACGTCAAAAAGTCGCACGTTCTTCCCTTTTCTCACGCCTGTATTTTATGAGGTACTATTTTTAGAACAAAGCTTCGATGTACTCAAAAAGTTTTTATATTGTTTGGCTTCCTAGTTTTGGCCTCCTCGAGAGTTCTCGCTTCACATAACAAAGATGATTTTCTTAACGAGTTGAATGTTATTCAAGAGATTAACTGTTACCTCCCTGAAGTGTTGGTACTCAGGGAATATTCCTTTTCACAAATAACACGCTAAGGAAAATGCCTCTGTGAGTAACTAACAAGCAACTTTAATTCAGTATTTGTCTTACAAGTATAGAGCAACAAGAAAACGAATCTTGGACTTGAAGCGTCAGCAAGGAATAACTCGTCTGTTCCGAGCTAAAACACGATTATATTTCAGACACAGTAGCTGCTTTCGATCACGGTTCATCCCCGATGCACCCATGATGCAGATTGCAAGATTTTTTACCATCAAAATGTGTTATCATTTTAGTCTGTAGAGAGGAGGATAATCCAATACGCGGCGCGTGATGTTAATTGTCGTTTTAATTGATCCTTACGATTCAAATTGTACCTTTAAGTTCGCCCCTATATCGTGCTAATAACCTGCTTTGCGCTTTTGTTGCTCCCGAAATATCTATTACGACGCCCTTGAAGGGTGGAACTTTTGTTCTCTGACACTGTTGGAAGTACCGTTCTCCAAGCGGGGAGAGTAAAATTTCGACGATTCTTTTTCCACTTCAATGAAACAATGAGGTTATTATTTTAAACTTGGAATCTTTCTTCTTCGTAATTTTTTTAGTGTTTAAGTTGAATTGGATCAATAGAGAGTATGAATTTACATGCATCTCGTTCTTAGAAACGCAAATTAGGTACGGTTGTCCATTGTTCCGCTGGCACTATTTTGAGCATGATAGTAAGGCAAAAGAATCAAGCATTATACTGGAATAAGAGTACAAAAAATTAAACGAATAAACAAGAAATGAACGAAAATATAGAATGACCATTTATTTGACTCTAGGTTTTAGAAAAACTTTGCAAAAAAACATAAGGTTTCCTAATGGGAAACCAGCTCTTACCGATGCAGCTCTCATTCGCTGCTTCTAAGGGGGTGTTTTTATCGTTGGAGAACTCATGTAAGGACGACCAAGCAAAGGAAACGGAATGCAATAAGGGTTAGATTCGTTAATGATACGACTTTAGTATGCACTGTTTTTTTCCTGTTTTCATTTACGCCTGTATTAAACAAAATAATCCCCCTTACTGTGATCTATTCCTTTATTTTGTTTATTCATTATGATAATTGTAATGATGAATAAAATGATAAAATAATAGAGACAGAGAATAATAATGATGCTTGTTCTTCATTGATACAGTGAAGAAAGGGGTGGTCTAAAAGCTTTCTACTTTATCTGTCGTTTTCTTGCCCAAACAACTATGATTTAGTCCTCTCAGATTGAGGGACGTGCACTGGTTTTGAAAGTGCACAGCGAGAAGATGTTTTTCAGTTATTAGCACGGATTTGCCTTCATTCCCTTTCACAAAGATTTCCCATGGCGATCTTAGGGGGCGGGATATTTTTTCCTATCAATAAATCTTCTTTTTTTGTTCAAACAGTTTGGCCTTAGTGTTCCAAATGACATCTACTGTTTCGCGAAAACCACAAAAATGCCTTACAAGGACTTTATAACAGCGATCCATTTTCTACTTGATTCATTCGCTGGTTAAGATCAGTGGGTAAGGTTGTCACATTTCCGAAGTGAGAGAGACGAGAAACGGCATTTTTTTCAAGGTAAGATATTAATTATTTTAAAACTGGTGAGTTATCACAGGTTAAAAC